GGGCTGTTGGGGCGGCTGCAGGGGTGGATTGCCGGGGGCGGATGAGCACAGGGGCGGTCGGAGAGCGCCTGGCGCGGGGCTGCGGGCGGGCTGGGGGCGGTCACGGGTCGCGTTTCGCAGCGAAAAGTGGCGCCGTCAGTGCAGTTTCGTGCCATTGCACACTGGCTGTGTGTGGCTGGCTCCGCGCAGTTTTGGATTCCAGATTAACTTTATGATGATAATAATGATGTCATGTGAACACACGCTCTGCCCAAAACTGTTTCGTGCATGTGTACTTTAAATGGGATTGAAACAGTAATTATTTGCTGAAGTGAACAGTAGAATATCTTATTGCACATGGTGCGATTAGAGGCGAGAATGCGGATTATCCCAAACGATATTGGAGTCAAATGGTTAGGCGATGACACCCGTCTAGAATGCAACACGACACACCGACAAAACACACGCACACACGCACTCACAAACACACGCAACCACACACACACACACACACACACACACACACACACACACACACACACACAAAATCAGGATCGATTTCAATAGGGGACCCCTCTTCACACCTCTACAACGTTACGGAGAAAAGTCAGGTAGCAGTGGCGCGCGGGGAAGGGGAGGGTGCGGCAGGGCGGGGAAGGGTGGGGACGGCGGGGAGTCCTCCAGCGCCTCCAGCGCTGCCGAGGGGGATGGGAGACCACTTGTGCATTGTTGGCCGATGACGACCCCTCTGGTCCCCTCCCCGCCCCGCCACGCCTCGCCACGCCCTGCCACGCCCCGCCACGCCCCGCAGGCCCGCAGCACAGCCGCGCCCCGCCCCCGGTCCCGTGGTCTGGCCAACCCTCATCCCCACCACAGCCTCCCTCCCCTCTCCTCCCCCAGGGATCGCATCTTGTAATGTTATAAGTTAGCCGCAGCCACCCCTGAGGGCCAGTAGCAGTAGCATTCTCAGTCGAGCAGGACGTGTCGGGTCGTCGTGTCGCTCGCCCGGTGCATCAGTGCGAAGTGTGCCGTGCCAGTGCGAGTGCAGTGCGAGTGCAGTGCGAGTGCAGTGTCTCCAGTGAAGTGCCCGCCGTCAGCGCCCTGTTGGATGTCATCATGACCCTCTTGGCCTCTGACCCTTCGCCGTCCTCGAGCCCGATCCCCTTGTCGAGCCCCATGGCCTCCCCGATGGCCCTCCTGTCGCTGTCCAAGCGCACGGCCTCCACCTCATCGTCCCTGTTCCGCCCGTGGGCGGCCAGCGAGGCGGCCAGCGAGGCCGGCGGCGACGCGGCGAACGAGGCCGTCAGCGAGTCCGCGGCCGCGGTCCAGTGCTCGCCCCCTGTCGGCATCTGCGCCGGCCTGTCGTCGCGCGCAGGCCGTCCCTCCAAGGTGCGCGCCGCCCCCACCGACGCGTCCGAGCAGCAGCCCATCCTCACCCGGCTAGAGGGGCTCGTCGCCAACCTGGACGACAGCAGCCAGAGCAGCCGGAGCAGCAGCCGTAGCAGCAGCAAGGGTAGGAGCACGTCAGCGAGCAGCGGCAGCAGCTGCCCGCCGTCCCCGGCCAAGGACTTGCGCACCAAGCCGAGACCGACTGGGACGACGTCGTCCAGGAAGTCCACGGGCAGTGCGTTCTCCTCTCCGAAGAGCCTCCCGCCTCCCCCGGGCCCTACCCCGGGCGCCGGCCCCGGCATGGTCCACGGGTTCCTGTCCCCCGAGGAAGTGGCGCTGCTCGCCGCGCACCAGCAAGCCTTCCACGAGGAGGCCCTGCTTGCCATGGCCGGCCTCCTGCCCCCCGGAATGGTGCCCCCCGGGATGCCGCCGGGCGTCCTCCTGCCCCCCGAAGGCCTTCCGGAGGGTATCCCCGCCGCCTACCTGGACGAGTACGCTCGCCTGCTACAGCAGGAGCAGAAGGCGCAGGGCGCTGCCGCCAGGAAGCAGAGGCCCAAGAAGTACCGCTGTCCGCACTGTCAGGTCGCCTTCAGCAACAACGGCCAGCTCCGCGGACACGTCAGGATACACACAGGTAGGGACCGCGCCCGTCACCAGCCCGCTGACGGCCTGGCTGTCAAGCGAAAAGTGTTTCTGTGAGCGTGAACAACTGGTCGCTAACCTGCCTGTTCTCTTTCTCTAGGTGAACGTCCGTTCAAATGCGAGGAGGAGAGCTGCGGCAAGCGCTTCACGCGCAACGAGGAGCTGACCCGCCACAAGCGCATCCACTCGGGGCAGAGGCCGTTCGCGTGCCAGGCGTGCGGCAAGCGCTTCGGGCGCAAGGATCACCTCAAGAAGCACACGCGCACCCACGACCCCGCGCACCGCATGGGCGTGGCCGGCGTGCTGCCCATCATGGCCCCGCCGCACTACCTCTACGGCTTCTGAGGACGCCGACGAACCTCCCCGTTTGGATAATTGTCTGACTTATGTGCGTACCAAGCCGTTTGGAGAACAAGACTTTTGAGATTGTTTTGTTTGGGTGTTTCTAGGCATGCTATTTCGACGATTTCGTTTCACGATGATCTCTCACTATTTTTGTTAAGAAGAAAACACTAGATCAAAACTTTTAAAAGTTAGTTTGAAATTCTGAGACTGGTTTTAATTCAAGTCTGAAGTATGTCTCGTCTCGGGTACAGTGCAGAGTGCTCATCGTAACGATTACGACAGTAGTTTATAGAATTTTGACAAATGATATTATTATATTATTATAAAAGTAACGCACGTTTGCTCGCACGTTTGTTTAGTCTGTGATCTAGTTTGTAAGTTATATGTATGTTATTAACTATTATTTGCCATATTGCCGGAAGTAAGTTTTGTACGATTTTGAATTATTGGCAGGGGACTGATGTCTTTGATCCGATCAATTTTTAGGAGAACGTTTATCGCGACTGATCGCGTGATCGTAGTAGAAATATTTTGTAACCCAACGCAAATCTGTTTTTCGTGTGTATTACGTTTGACACAACGGGTCGATCACTCCAACGTACTATGTTAAACTTCTCACTGACCAAAGCCGAAGAAATGTAATACCTGCTGTGTATATTTTAATAAGATTGCTACATGCCAAGTTTATTTCTTGAAAAGAGATTTTATGTTATATA